ATTGTTGACAGTAAAGTAGTAGAGGCAGCTGGGCTATAAGAGTAGTTTTGGTGCAGACAGCCTCACGTAGTAAAGCCATTCGGCTCTCAAATTATCCTGTCGTCGGTCCCATCTTCAGGTAGGTTCGACTGCGATAGTGTTGACGTATTGATCAATTTGTGGACAGAAAAACATTTTGAATAATATTAACACAGAGAAGTAAAATGCAGTTACGTTCCTTTCAGATATCCGTTTTAAGACAACAATTTATGATGTTGACCTCAATAAAATGTTCATATTTCAACCATTTGTCACCACACAATGTAACTCTTTAGGCTCATATTCCGGAAGTTATTAATTTCGTATTTCAGCCGGGACACCGGACATCCTAACTGACGTATTTTGTAATTTTCCTTATTCCCCACCCCAAACCCACCAGGCAAATTCCGGGACAGTACCTCTCTTAGGCCCCAGCTGTTTTCTTAAAAATGCTTCCACATTCATCATTCATCAGTCTTCCCACCATTGGACGCTTCGACATTGACAACGCCATAAAATAACCTGTGAAATATTCTTACTGGTGCCATTCGTTTTGCATGGCTTTAGTATTAGTGTTGTTGAAGAAATTGCTTGCAATTAATACATTTAGGGATTTAAGTTTTCTCTAACCCTTCGAGTTTCAGACGAAATTAACAATAAAACTGATCCATTAGTTTAAGCGTGAGTGATAGGCAGACAGACTAGCATGCCTTCTTTGCATATGTAACTACTGGTACCAAAAGCCGAAAGATAAGTTCTCACGGCATAAAGAACGAAATTCTGCATTACTTCTACTCAATGAAATTCCTGTATTTGTGTGTGTGTTAAATGTGTAAGTTACAAATACGTTTTAGAATGTTAACATAACCATGATTCTTTCTTCCTTGCTTCTCGTATTGGATTGCAATGGGACGCAGGTAATTATTTCTGATACTTTATACTTGGAAAAAAGAAGGCGCATCTTAAATCTACTTTACATTATCAGAATTATGGTTCTCCAACAAAAATTATTTCACTGAAACTTTTCTGCGTTAAAGAATTATGAAGGAAAAGTGCATAAAAATTAAATGTTTATAAAAAAATAGAGATCTTATTTTTCAGGTCTTACACGAAAGTTAACTGAACATTCAATTTATTTTTAATGACTTTTCTTTTAACCGCATAATAAGTAAATATTGAATAAATAAACATTTATTTTTTCTTGAAAAAAAATGAATGAAAATAATTCAATATCAGATATCATAGCATTTTTAATGTGTTTGAATATATCTGAAATTGGGAGAAATATTGAGGATAGAATCAGATATCGTATGTATAATTCATATAACGAAATTCAGCAAAAATTAAATTCATTTGGGCGACAAAATTCATATGAGAAACTAGACGGAAATTGCAGCCGCATTATAATTGCAACAACAGATAAGAATTCAATTGCACTGTATTTATCATTTTATTGCTGTGTTCTTCTATGTTATTGTTCAGTTGACTTGCCTAATGTATGCAGTTATTTCTTCCCACTGTTGCGAAAAACCAGACATCCTGGAGTTGGTGGGCCCACTTCCTTCATCGCCACGATGGGAAAGAGAGAATACAGGTGACTTTTACTGAGAATCTGTCAACGTGTGATGTCAAAAGTAATTTATTATTTAATTTTTATTTATTGAGCCCAGTTGTACAAGTGTCAATCAGGTGTAATAATCGAAATCCAGTGCTAAAATTTTTCGTCCGTTCAGGCAAAATTTTGAGCCGAGAACATGTTTTGTAGCACATCCCATGCTCATACAAGAGACGAAATAACACATAACTCGTTACACAATCAAGAGATTCATAATTTGTGCCTTACTTACTTACTTCCTTACTCATGGAGCTGAGCTCTTCTTGAGGAGCCGCCAGCTCTGCAGATACTCAAGAACTTCACAGCATTTTATGGAGCCCGAAGGTTTAATACCTTGTTCAATCCACGTACGCCTTGGTCTTCCCAGTGGTCTCTTTCCTTCTGGCTTTCCCACCAATATCCTATACGCATTCCTCGTCTCCTCCATTTGTGCTGCATGCCGTGCCCACCTCATCCTCCTTGACTTGATCATTCTAATTATACTTGGACAAAAGTACAAGTTATGAAGCACCTCATTATGAAGTTTTCTCCAACCTCCTGTCTCTTCATCTCTTCGGTCCAAATATTCTCAACATCCTGTTCTCAAACACCCTCAGTCTATGTTCCTCCCTTAATGTCAGAAACCAAGTTACACACCCATACAGAACCACAGGCAAAATTATAGTTTTTTATATTCTAATTTTTATGTTTTGGACAGCAGACGTGAAAACAAAAGGTTCTGGACTGAATGGTAACAAGCATTACCCGAGTTCAATCTCCTCTTAATTTCCTCCTGAATCAGGTTTTGATTTGTTATCGTCGTCCCCAAATATCTGAACATATGTGGGACATAGAACACACGTAAACAGTGATACATCCTAAAATAGTTTGACCAGGGAATTCCAATGAAAAGCTTTCAACTGCATAATACCACTATGTTACTAATCTCTTTAGCACTACTTCCATAAAAGCGATTCTCATATTTCGTATACCTGCTTATAAGTTTCGATACACTATGAATATTATCAGACCACTTTATGACGTTAAAGTGGATGTACGAGTATGTCTTTGACACAAAGAAATGTACAGTAATACACACCAAGTTATCTGGCATGTATGGGGAATGTTATATGTCGGTACCAAGAATCGTCCTGTCGAGTGAAAATCTCTTGAAAAAATCCATCACAATTCTATCTAGTCAACAAATTTACAGAATATTTTAAACAGTGACGGAACGACAATCATAATGAAGCGCTCTCGGGATTAGTGGGGGGGGGATATTTTATACATAATGTAACAAATTCAACTAGCATCTGCTTTAACGACAGTAGCACGAGGGATAACGACTGACAGCGCACCTAGCGGCAGCTAGGAGAACTGCCGCATGGGGGGTGGACGTAAATACATTGCAAAATTTTTTCTCTCAGACTTCTTCATATGAGCCTGACGGATAGGCATATTCTTACACGTGTAATTGCCGACTAGTGTGAGCAGTGGAATATATCAGTAATAATACGATTTGTCACTTTAATTAATCTATGAATTCCGGTCTAGAAAACCGATATTAACGGCCGTGGGGATCCGTTGCACTGACCACGCGACACTCTCTATCCGCTAAAGTTGTCACTAACTTGGCCGACAAGCGGCGGTCGCTCGATCGGTATAGTTCGCTTGCGGACTACAGGCCACGGAGTTTGTTTTGTAATTAATTTATGAATACTTCCTCTTCAGCACCATTCAAATTATATATTCCTGAACAAGAATGAACCGGCTCAAGTCAGTATTTTCTACTGAAGGCGATGATGGTGTGACAGTCTAGACTTTTGTTTGAGACGTATGAAGTTTGAATTTTGATCCGGTTCCCGGGTGCAGTGAGACGTTTCCTGAACTTTTCCTGACTCCTCTGTGAATACGCGCATTTTCTGCCTTAAAGTGTAAGCTCTTGTGGACGCAGGTTCCATGTAGGGTCTGGATCTTCTTGGCTAGCTTAAGAGGAATATTTTTTGCATGGAATAAATTACGTTAAATATGCAAGCCGTCTCCTTCTAAATCAGGAAAGAAAGTTACTTACTTTTTGCCTTAAATGAAAGGAAGATCAGCCCCAAATATTACGTTGCCCCAATTCTGATTAAAAATTCTCCGCGTCGGTTGCAATAATAATTGGAATGGTAAATTATCTTTCATAAAAAGACGAGGAATTCTTGCCTTAATTTCTTACATGCTTTTACATACATAAATGCACACAATTTCTCCCTGTCATCCCTCTTTTAAATATGTGAAGGATGAATAGACTTTGCTTCTAAATATAATGAAAGTCATTTTGTATTATTTCTCTCATTTTGCTCCAGATATTTATGTCATATTAAGAATGTTGCATTCTGAAATTTCAGTTTAGTTTCTCGGAAGACGGAGTATGATATGAATGGGGTCATTTGCATGAGCATGTGAGAGAAGTAAGAAATTACTATAAAATTTAATCGGTAAATGTAAAGGACACAGCTTCGAAATTCGAGGCTTAGCTGGACAGATAATGTTAAAGTTGTCGTTAGAAGAACAGGCATGAAAATGATTCATCTCACCCAAAATAAGGGTACATTGCGGGCTTTTTTGAACACGATAATGGAACTTTGGTTCCTATAAGACAGGCAATTTGTTAGTGAGTTGAACGTCTGTCAGCGTCTCAGGAAACACTCTGCGGTTTGCAGGTGGTTGGATGGCTATTACGTTAGTTATTTTCGGCAGTTTTATTTTACTTTGACGAAGGACAAGCTTAAAATCAATGTGCAACAACCATTATTGCTTGATCCACGTATTTATGCTCATTTTGTGTGTTTTGCAGCTTGCAGTAATATTATCAACTCCAGGGACTTCTGTGGACATTCTTCTATTTAGCCTACCCAGAGTTATTTGTTGACTCTGGTCGAAAGTTGTGATTTCTTAAATCTCCAATATTATGAACGCATGTTGCTGGTATTTTAATTAATTCTACATACATGTCCTGCTATGTAAGTAGTTATAAGTACATTAGTTATATTAACCCACTGGAAAGAATTAGAATTAATATAGTTAATACTAATATTGTAATCATATCACTGATAAGTATAACGTTATTACTAAAGAAGGACATACCTGTTCTCATACAACGTATAGTATGCTTCAGATACTGTGTAATTAAAACTAAAGATGACTTCAGCCTATGAGTACACACTCATAATAGTGTAATCATGTCATGTACTCTCATATCAGAATAAACTGAGTCGGGATAGAAAAGAGGGGATTTTTGTTTGAAAGAAATATAACATTTTACCTATGATTAATTCAACACCACATCATTACTCATGGGGGAATGAAGACACAGCTCCACAAGTTCTCACCCTCTGCACTAGATAGACGAGAGTGGTCGGTATTACTCCCCGGACACTCTATCTCCAGCGAAATGATCTCATTTCACATTGAATAAGACGCTGGGCGGACGTGACCCGTAGGGGAGACCTGGGCTAGATGTTACAGAAATTTGTGATTTTCTTTGTTGTACGACTATTGTATGTATGGAAATAACACCGATGAACAATGTTAGTGACATTGTGGTCTTTGAAATAATATTTTTCACGTGGTCAGCGTACTCCATTTTAATAAATATTTTCAGTTCTTTATGATAGTGCATAAGGGACACGTAACAATGTGCCCAATTTCGGGGTAGCCTGTCACGCTATATAGGGATAATTGTTACGTTATTGTCTTACAGAAACGCAAATGCAAGCTTAAGTTTCATCATATTAGTCTTAGTAGTATTAACGTGACAACTGTGATTAAAATTCCAGTATTTTGCTGCATTTAATTTGAATTGGATAAAGTGTACAAATACAGATTTTATATAATACATTATAGTACGCTTTATGAAATACTACGTGAACAATACAGAATCCTGTCTTGTCTTCCACCCTGTCTTATTATTACAACATCTCTATCACCTAAATAAAAGCAACTTTCAAAGTTTTTGCAAAAGTTTGACACAAAGGATTGACTCACAAGATAAACACGCGTTCAGTACCCACACATGAAGGGGAAGCGGGCAATGAAATTTGCTATGGGACTTCTCCAGAGCTCAGAAGTATTTGTGGCTGTGAAGTACAAAAAAATATGATTTCCGTTATCATCATAATTCACGCAGTCTCCCATTATGGAAGGGGAAACAGTTTTAATTATATTCCGCCATTTAATTTGAGCCGTGCGTTCCTACCTCAGGGATTTAAATCTGGTAAAAAAAGATTAATTATAATCTTTACAATTAATTATTAGACTGTTCCATATCATTTTTTCCGCTCTGTTTCAAAACTTTTGTAAAATCTGTGTACCGCCACAAATTTCACAGAGTATTGTAGCGTATAAACCCGTTACAAAGTAACGACCGCGAAACAAACTGGTTCCCACTGTAACGAACAGACGGGCAACAGTAGAGAAACTATGTAAGATTTGAGGTTTTCACGGCGGTGACTATGAAGAAAGCAGTCTTCTGGGATGTGACACCGTGCAGATGTGGTGTTAACTGACGTTTCGGAGGAACGTATCGCTTACATCTTCAGGGTAGAAGGACAAATAAGAAATCCGCAAGCGAAGACCAGTCTGCTTGTACCGGTTCTCACGGTCTCTTCGCTTGCGGATTTTTTTTCTTTCTACCCTGAAGATGGAGGTGATACGTTCCTCCGAAACGTCTGTTAACACCACATCTGCACGGTGCCACATCCCAGAAGACTGCTTTCTTCAGTAGAGAAGCTGTTGGAAGCGGTGTTTCGTAAGCGTTCCGTGCTAAGTATTTACATAACGAAGGCACCAGCTGAGTCAGTTACGTCCTCTCGTTAGAGAAGGCCATAACAAGACCTTAACTGTCAAACAGTAATAAATAT